AGAATTTTCATATCGATTGTCTTCATTCTACCAGTGTATGGCCATTTTACCTCTCTGTATCCCAGCTGAATGCTAAGGACAGCAAAGGCGGAAGATGCCGTGTGAGTCTGGGCACCACAAGCCTGCTGATATTAAACTGGCATTTTATGTTATTTGCATATGCTTTCCATTCATCTTTGAGCATATGACCGATTTTAAAACCCCAAAATGAGTTAACATTTCAATCTTTAGGAATCCTATTTATACAAATTAATTTTGAATGTTTTATTCTTTGTTAAACTGATTAAAATTGCATGGTTAATCTGTCTAAAAGAAAAACAGAAATTGTGATATAAATAAAGACTGTTGATCATCCTCCTCCAAGCAGGAAGATCAGAGCATACTTTCTTCTAAAGTGCAGCAGTAGTGGTGCACTACTGGAGAAAGGCACCTTTCTTTGCAGAGTTGTATTTATGTTCAGCTCCCTCATATTTGTAAAAAATCAATCGCTGTGTACCGATGCTAATCTGAATGTATGCTGGCAGCCTATGTTTTAAAATTTACATGAGGCTGGTGGTATCCTCACCTACCACTCTCCACTGCATCATGCTGGTAGCACAATTAAGAGCAATATCAGGGAAGCTTCTTTAAAATGAGAACAGAGTTTTTCTTTTTTTTTTCCCCCCTTTTCCCCCCCTGTGATATGTGCCCAATTGTTGGAGGTATTTAGATCTCAGTTTTCTTTTAAAGAGAGTGCAGTTTTTAAATTATAGCAGGATTATAGAGCCAGTTTAGATGAGAATAGTGTTTGGCCAAGTTCTGCTAAAAGATAGTTAAAAAAATATGTAGCTTAGTGTCGGAACGTTACGTAAAAAATATCCTAGGGATATTCATCCAAATATAAGAGAGTTGTTGGAAATAAAGTGAGTTAGCAACTGTGAAACATCATTAATTGTTTTTCCGCCTTAAAGCTTGTAGACTTTATAAATCTTCTAACTGACTTACAACCCCAATTCCAAAAACCTTGGGACGCTGTGTAAAATCTACATAAAAACGGAATGCAATGATTTGCAAATCTCATAAACCAAAATGTTATTCACAATAGCAAAAAGAAAACATCAAATGTTTAAACTGAGAAAATGTTAAGAAAAAGCATTTTACGAAAATAAATAAGGTAATTTGCAACATTCAAGTTGCGACAGGGCCAGGGTGCACCCTCCACTCTTCTTTTAACAACACTCTGTAAATGTGTGGCAACTGAGGAGACCAGTTCCTGGAGTTTTGGGAGAGGATTATTGTCCCATTCTTGCCTGATATAGGATTCTAACTGCTTAACAGTCCTGGGTCTTCTTTGTTGTATTTTTTGTTTCAAGATTTGCCAAATATTTTCAATTGGTGAAAAGTCTGGGCTACAAGCAGGCCAGTTAGGCACCCGGACTCTTCTACCTCGAAGCCATGCTTTTTCCATAGGTGCAGTATGTTGTTTAGCTTTGTCCTGCTGAAATATACAAGGCCTTCCCTGAAAAAGACGTTGTCTGGATGGGAGCATATGTTGCTCTAAAACCTGGGTATATCTTGCAGATTTGGTGATGCCTTTCCAGATGTGCAAGCTGCCCATTCCATACACTATAAAGCACCCCAATACCATCAGAGATGTAGGCTTTTGAACTGAGCGCTGCGACAGACCATTTTTAAATAGGATTTGTCCCAGAGAAGACGGCAGCGTTTCTGGATCATGTTCAGATATGGCTTCTTTGCATGATAAGGCTTTAACCTGCATTGTTGGATGGCACGGTGATCTGTGTTCATAGACAGTGATTTTTGGAAGTATTCCTGAGCCCATGCAGTGATGTCCATCACAGAATCATGACTGTTTTTAATGCAGTGCCGTCTAAGGGCCTGAAGATCACGGGAATCCAATATTGTGTTTTGGCCTTGTCCATTGCGCACAGAGATTTCTCCAGATTCTCTGAATCTTTTGATGATACGATGTACTGTAGATTATATATTTAATGTCTTTGCAATTTTATGTTGAACATTATTCTAAAATTTTTGACAATTTTTAGACGCAGCTTTTCACAGATTGGTGAACCTCTGCCCATTTTTACTTCTGAGACACTCTGACTCTATAGGATGCTCTTTTTATACCCAGTCATGTTACTGACCTGTTACCAATTAACCTAATTAGTTTTAAAATGTTCTTCCTTGTTAGTACCACTTACTTTGCCAGATTTGTGTTGCCCTGTCCATACTTTGAGACATGTTGCTGCCATCAATTTCAAAATGACAAAATAATTTTTTTTTAATTGGTATATTTTCTCAGTTTAAGCATTTGATATGTTTTCTTTTTCCTATTGTGAATAAAATCTGGGTTTATGAGATTTGCAAATCATTGCATTCTGTTTTTATGTAGATTTTACATAGCGTCCCAACTTTTTTGGAATTGGGGTTGTATATACATTGGGCCATACAGATATGGTGGCTATTGTACTGTTGAATCTCTATAGTTTTTATTGCTTAGGTGTAAATTGTAGTGCTCTAAAATAATTACAATTAGTTTGTTTTATCAGATGCAAACATGTCAGGGAGGATAATAAATGGCCTCCATTCAAAAGACATTAGATAACCCATTTTTCAATTTTATTTTTTTGCATTGTAAATCAGCTGAGAAATAACCGATCATTTGTCAATACTACTAAACCAGTCCTTTAATTCTCCAGGGACATACAGCTCAATACCTAATCTAGTCTAATTGAATAGTGTACACTGTAATAGTTAACACACATTTAGTCATTGTAAAGGATCTGCCAATGTTGCAGGTAAATAGGTCTATGTGATGTCTTTAGCACAAATACGGCAGATTATCTGCAGTAAATAGACTCTTTATATACTGATCTCTAACCTGATGCTTTGTATTGTTATATTTATCTATGTATGTGAAATCATAGCATGGCTTCTTTTATGTTCCATCTCTGTTAAACATTAACATCATTAAGCTATATGTGCATTTCAGATGGGTAAATTACCTAACTCCAATGCAATTTAAGAACATCTGCTAACTTTTACGTGGGAAAATGCTTATGGCACCACATACATATGCCTTCCAAACGTTCAGGAGTTATAATCTTACCTATAGACATTAGGAAAAAATTTGCAATTTCAAGTTCCTCTTGAATTGTGCGAACAATTTTATTTATTTTTTTTCTCTTTCTATCGCAGATTTATTTAAATTTTTTTAACATGTCTGTCTTTCCATCTTAAAGTTTTGCAGGAGTTAAATCTTAAAAATGCATTCAAGGTCCCTAAAAAAAATATATCTTATTTGTGTATCACTCGGATGTAGATCCTTAAATCATCTCTGAATTGGTGCCGACACTGTCCTTCCTTCTGGAGGGTGACTACTTTTGTTCCTCATGGTCCCTGTGTGTGTTGTAAAGTAGCCACCACTCCAAGCTCTCTCCTGTGATCGACTACAATCTCAGTACAAATTAGCAAACTAAATGTAAGGTTGTGGTCCATCGTGGGAGCGAGCTTGGAGTGGTGGCTACTTTCCAACACAAATATATGAAAAAATGGAATAAGAGTTTTTAAGGCACCAAATCACATAATTGATCAGGTTAAATAGTTTTATTCCAAAGTTTTAAAAAAAACAAAAAATTAAAAAGTTTTACAAAAATGTCTGTTACAAATTCTTGTGATTCATATATTTATATAAATCAACTACCACCACCCGGGTTCCAAGATGTAAGGAGGACAAAATCATATTTCACAAAAACAGCCCAATGTTGTCATGGAGTCTAAACTCTCAAATCTAGTGATTCCTTAATTGGGGGTGGGATCACTACATTTGAAAGTTTAGACTCTATGACAACATAGGGTTGTTTTTGTGATATACGATTTCTTCCTCATTTTATCTTGGGACCCTGGAGGTGGTAGCTGATTTATATAAATATATGGATCACAAGCAATTGTAACAGACATTATTGTAAAACTTTTTAATGTTTTTTTTTAACTTTGGAATAAAACTATTTAAACTTAGTTGTGTGATTTGGTGTCTTAAAAATCCTTCTGCCATTTTTGTATATATTTACAATTTTGTGGTGTGGCACCATTGGACAGAGGTATCACCAATGCACTGTAGTAATACTTGACAACACAAACGGGGATCATTGGCAACTAAAGTAGCCCCCCTCCAGAAGGAAGGACAGTGTCAGCACCAATTCAGAGATGATTTGAGGCTGTACAGCCGAGTGATACACAAATATGATAAATTTTTGTTAATAGTTAAGTTACTTGAATGTATTTTTAAGATTTAAGTCTAGTGTTTAGTGTCACTTTACATGTAATATGTGATTACTTCTTTATGTTAATGTTTTTCTGTACTTAATAGCAAAGGCCAAAACTTTATTCTGTGTTTAATGTGTACCCTTTACCAATTGACTTTCCTGTTATTTTTATTGTGATGCCATGTGATATCTTAATAGCAAGCTGAACTGTATGTTGCTCAATAGCAAACCTGATCTAGGTTGGAACTCTGCACTAGCGGACGAGTTTGTTGATCTTGAATTGTAAATGTGTAAAAACCAATTCAGGCTTGGGGGAAGAGGAGATGCAGTTGCCCATAGCAACCCACTAGAGTTCTTTTTTTTTTTCCAGTAAGTAATAAAACTTGATTGGTGACCTTTAGGCAGCTGCTCCTTCTCTTTTACTCCAGATTTTCTTACCATCTTTGTCTACCTCATTCCCATAGTATGCAACATAAAAAAAACACGTATAATGTTGCTACATATTACCTTCTGATTCCTGAGGTGTACATCATTTGTTTCTCTTTTTCTGTACTGATAAATACAGACTACTCAAAAACAACGCAAAAGACCAGAGCAGATCTCTAGGTTTGTCTGAGTCATGCTGTTTAAAAACATTGTTGTCCATTTAGTCAGATGTCTGTGTTGTTCAGCACACTGAGCACCTCTGACAAGTAGACAGCAGAGCCTGACATGTTTGTATTGACTCTTTCCTAGTTATCCATACAGTGAAGACAGCAGTCAGGGGAAGCAATACATGAATACACGATGTCCAGCATGGTGCGATCGAATTCTAATGTCACACTCTGCTAAAGAACTTCTTTTAAAGGTAAGACTCCACTGGGAATAAGGCTAAATCTTAGGAGATCCTCATTCTAATGATTGTGTAATGCAGTATGTAAGCATTTCTCATCTTAATCCTCACCGCCACATAGGAATTTCAAAATTTTTAAGTTTCTATCTACCCAGAAGTCTAGGTAGATGCTGATGAGCCTAATATCTCAGCATCTTCTTATTGCTCTTGCTTTTTCTACTTGTGAGATAGGTGCGACTGAATCCTTAAGCCCACTGTTCTTTTTCAGCTGTTATCTGGAGGGGGGCAAATCTCTGTCTAGAGTTTTAAAACATTTTGCATTAAATTGAATGCAGTGGGGGAATAAGACTCCTCCAGGAAAACCAACCAGGATGAATAAAACGCCATTGTGGAGGTTGGTTTGGGGTAGCTGCCTAAGCCAAGGACTCTGGTGGGATAATATCAGTGACCTGATGGTCTTAAGCCAATGAGCAATTCAGCACTCCCAGGGCTGTTGCTCACCAAATGCATAAACATACAGTACCCAACCCCATACCCAGACTCTTATGCACACAGATAAGTAACTCTGCCATGAAGATGCTTATAGCATCTTATAGACCCAGAAGCATCAATCTGTCTGTATTTCTACAAGAAACTCACAATACTTAGGCACAGTGTGTCCTTTAAAAAAGTGCAGGTCTGGGGTTTTCCAGCCTAATGCAGCACATCTAAGCATAGCGATGTTGTACTGTCTGAAATATTTCCCTGGTTTAACTCCCAAGTATATGCAAATACTATCAAAATTAGAACCAGAATGTACTATTAATCGCAACACCCACTTTTCCACTTGGAATGTGTTTACTGTAGAGTCTTGTTAATCCATTTAATAGTCTCTATATCCTCTCTGCATTCAGTCCTGCGGTTGAATTTAGTCACAAATGTCCAAAAGCGGACAGGGCAAAAATGGCAGAAAACATTATTGAACAGGCAAAGAGAATTGGTATTGGGTGCTGCTCAATGTAGGTTCAGGTCCCATAGAGATGAGATGTGATCTCCATGCAGGAAAAGCTCCCAAAATGGAAATGTTCATGTTGCTTTTGTTAGCTTAGCACAGCTCACACAAACTTTAATTATGAACACTTTATCCTTTCATTCATGTTGTCATCTTGGCGCTCAAGCTGTGGTGAAAGTACAAATTCCATAATTCCTCTAGGCATGATGCCTGTGGCTGTCGGAGCCTTGCGATGCCTTTTGGGACTTGTAGTTCCCCAGCACCTTAAGTGCTGAAGTTGCCAACCCATGGTCTATGTGCCGACCTGGCAAATTTGCCTAATTAGAGAGCCGCCTCTGGTCGCGTGCCAGCTGTCAAGGTCTCGCCTGCCAGGCTGGGCACGCGTGCCGGGGGTTGCTGACCCCTGGTCTAGGGTCACAACAGAAATGTACAGGTGAAACTCGAATAATTAGAATATCGTACAAAAGTAATTGCAGTAAGTGCTGCAAAAGGGGCCCAAACCAAGTACTGAGTACATATGCATGCTTGTACTTTTCAGAGGTCCGATATTGTTCTATGTACAATCCTTGTTTTATTGATTGCATGTAATAATCTACTTTTGTGAGGTTGTGGGTTTTGGGTTCTTGGGGTTTTCATGAGCTGTAAGCCATAATCATCACAATTATGACAAATCACGGCTTGAATTATCTTGCTTTGCATGTAATGAGTCTATCTCATATATTAGTTTCACCTTTTAAGTTGCATTAGTGAAATAAATGAACTTTGCACGATATTCTAATTATTCGAGTTTCACCTGTATGTGTTAATGCCCATGGGTTAATGTGTGTTGCTTTCAGGATTTCCTTCAGACAATTTGAGTGGCAAATGCATGTCAAAGTGCCCATAATGCAGCATACAGGATGTCCTTTTTTTTTTTTTTTTCTACAATGCACTGCAATTACACTGGTTTTAATAGGGCCTGTTATAAACAATAGGTGCCATTAACTAAAAGTGGAGCAGCTGCACACAGTAACCAATCAGCTTCCATCTTCAGCATGTTCCGTTAAGCATTGAAAATAAAAGCTAAAAGCTGATTGGTTGCTATACACAGCTGCTTCACTTTTTGTCTCATCCAGTGTTAGTAAATGTATCTTAATGTATTTGAAAATGCATCAAATGCTTGATAATATGCATGGTGTGAATAAGCCCTTAGTATATGCTTTGCAGCTCATTACAGAGAGACCCTGAGATATTTTTTTTTCCCAGGCCTAAGTGCTGATCCAGCTAGATTTCATATAAAAAGAAAAAAAAAGCAAAGATTGTATCTGCGGCACACTTTCCTGTCTTCTCTTGGAAAATGGATGATGCTTACAAATTAGCACACAGCATGCCGAGCTTCTCACACTAGGCGTTACAGATTGTACAGACATGGGGCTGTAAGCCGCTTTCATGCAACACCATCTATCATGCCATGCTCGGTTACCTCACCATCATGTTATTTTATGCTTCCTGAGCCCTAAAACACCAAAGGTTGCCCACCGCTTCCAAGGCACGTTGACGCCTGATAGCATGCAGTAATGAATGCTCAGTGGAGTGTGGACTGTTCCTGCTTGTGCAGTGCTGTAATTTGTTTATCTGTCTAAAGATTATACAGTTGGAAATCCACAATTTTATGCTGCCTTTCTAAATTATCAAGTCTCTTTTTGATGAATGCTTTCCCACTTGCAAAGGAAGTGCCATTATGATCTTGAGATATTGGAAAGTGCTCATGCATACAATGCAGAAGGTTATGTTTTTCTTATGCAATTTTGGCAGACAACCATAATATAAAGTAAATCTGACCTTAAACCTGCCTAATGCATTAACATAATTTAGTTATTACTCCAAACAGTGATGTATATATTACACACTTATTCATTCAGACTTGACTGATTACAGGGAGAAGTCCTTGACGATGTTTAATAATCATTGACATGTCATCACTTGATGTTTGTTGAGGTCGTCATAATGGGAGTCTGACAGATTTTGTGTATTAGAGTTATGTTTCGGTTGCAGATTTCTGCCATAGGATTTTAAAAAAAACAATTTGCTTGGATAGAAGGGTATGAGAGTGGAAAAGTGTTATAGAAACTCCACAAATACTGATATGAATTAGCGCATAAGTAGCCATATACAATACAAATAGTCTATTCCAAGTCTATTCTATTATGCGTCCAGTTGTGCAAGAAAATAAAATTGTGCCCACAGTCTCAGCCTATTTATGCAACAACATCCAGCCTTGAAACTCCTGAATAACATAGAGGGAGGGCACTCACAGGATCTATAAGACAAAGGTGCAGAAGTGCATCGGCATAGTGTAGCAAAATACATTTTAATAAAAGTTTGTGAATAAAATCAGATGCACCCACAAGTGTGTGAAAGCCCAAAACACCATACATGGAGGAAGGTATCTCTGCCTTCTTGGGTGCCTTATGGGGGGGTAAGCCATTGGGGTGAGATCAAGGATGCTGGGACCAAAGAATGCACTTGTGTGAACACACAGATCTTAAGCTGCTGAGGGTTTCAGTCTCTCTCTAATCCTGGCCACTTCCATTTCATCCAATGTTACATTTCTCACAATGCTGCTGTAACCAGGGACACATTTCAGAGAAGTATCTTCCCCTTCATCAGCCTGATCTTTAATTTAATAAATGCTGGAAATTTAAATAGAAACTTTAATAGTATGTTTTATTTGTTTGTTTGCTGGGATATACAGAAGATTCTCTACCTAATTTAAAAATGATTTCATGCATGTTTTTTTGCAGTCTGAAAATGATGAAAGAATAGTGATGTATGACAGCATTGGGCCAAATATCTGTATGGGGGACCACAAGGTAGTGTATGCTTGTCTTCTTTTTTTTTCTTTTTTTTTTATAAATTGTTCCTTAGTATAGAAAAATACAGTTGTGTGTGTATATATACTGCTCAGGTTTGACCTTTTTTTTTTATTATTATTATTTTTATGTTAGATTCCTGACTATCTCAGGTCTCCATAGTTTGAGTCACTGGCTAGGAATAAGCATGCAACAAGCGCATTCAGCGTAATGTCAGAATTCATAATTTGCATACTTTTACTGGTCAGTGACTCAGTCTATTGAAGTTGAAATCCCCACAACAGAAATACAGACTTCAATCAAATGAAGATAAAGTGTTTTTTATTGCTGGTTTAATCCCCGTTGAGTAGATTTCTCCTCATTCCCTGTCCCTGTTGAACAAATCGGGAAGTGAGGAAATATTTCCACCATGGACAAAGGCATCAATGAAAACCTGAGAGGCCCGAAGCATTTATTTATGTATTGCAGGTATTTATGTAGAGCCATCGATTTACACAGCGCTTTATGTACAATTCATATGGGTTCTAAAAATGTTTAGATTTGCAGTTTATATTAAGGATGATAGACAACCTGACAGTAGCACTATAGAGACCGATGTCCGAGCACCTTGTAACTGTTTCTATTGACAACAGCTGTAATGAAGACTTTTCTGCACCTGGATGTAAAATCCCCTTTTATTATCTTATGATCTTGTATTATCAGATTGTAGATTAATGACTGACAAAGATTTACATCTCTCTTTTCTGTACAGCCTGTCTTCCTGTCCTTCCGATTAGCTGCTGGGGCAGGTAAAGCTAATGCACATGTGCACAAGTGTTGTATCGTGCAGTGATGTGGTGGTAAATATCCTTTCTTTTCTTTATTTTAAAATATCTACAGTCCTTGTTTTTTTTTTTTATTAAAGTAAACTGTGGAAAAATGGGTATTATAAATGTAGGCACCCTAAGATCAAGTACATACTGTAAGCTCTGCAACATGCCCCTTTTAGGAGATCCTGCAACATTGCATTATAGAATATAGGCTGCAGGATTTCATATGTTCTCATTACCAGGAAAACCAGTTGGCACATTTACCCTTAGTAAATTTCACACATTCAGTGCGTTCAGGGCATGGTTCTGTGGCATGAACACACTCGATTGCATATTTAAAGCCTCCCTGCGTTCTGGGGCAGGAGGGGAGCGGTGATGCCTTTCATGTCAATGGCACCGCAAACGCACCTCCCGCCTGCAGTGCAATCGCCCGCACCGGTACGCGTGGTACAGCAATGCCCTGCATTCTGGTGTGATCAAAAAAAATTGCGCCTCTCTCTGGGTCAACCTGGAAGCATATGAGTCATTCTGTTTACAATGACACTACACTAACCAGTTATAAAACATCTGTAAAGGTCTGGGAACAGTGTTTAGTACTGATTAGGATCAGACCCCAGTTGCGTTTACAATCTATTTTCCCTCAGTAGCATTAAACCATTCTAACTACTGTATGTCCCTTATCTCACCTCTCTTTAGCCTTATTTTGGTACATTCAGATTAAGCAGTTATTCTCCAGAGGCCTTCAATTAAGGAGGTCATTATAACCCTGATAACCTTTCTTTATTCTACTCTGATCTCTGCTCTGGTCTCTGGTGATATTTTCTATCATGGGAGGCTGAATTTGGTACCTAACTGGATCTAGGGGATTTGAAGTAAATATAGGACTACACCTTTTCGGGATACCATATGCAATGAAAGCAAACTACAAGCTCCTATTCCTGGCAGGGAAAAAAAAATCAGTCTGAGTCTCTATTAAATAGAAACCAGTGAGCTATACTGAAACACAGTTCAGACTACTTGACCAAAGGAAAGGCAGCTGTTAAACAATGTCTTGATTAAGGTGTGGAAGTTGATACTGCTGAGTAATCAAGCAGAAAATGTAATGGCAAAAGACAAACTCCAAATTATAGACACAGTTAAGACTTTCTAAAGGTCTGGATGCTCATGATTTTTTTTTTTCCCCTGCAATATTGAAGGGAGTGTTTTCTTGAAAGCATCTTTCCCTGTGCAGCAGTACTCCTTCTTTTCCCTTGATCAAGCTTGCAAAGTTGCATTTCTTAGAATGGCCTCCTTCTCCATTCCAGCTATTGGTGATGTTGCCAGTGGGCGTTGTTAGTGGTGCAGTTCTGATCTCCACAACTCCCAGTAATACTATCTTGTCCCCACTAGTAACCTACTACAATACACATTAACACAATGTGTGTGGAAAAGTGTGGACTGCTACCCTCTGCCCACAGACCGTGTTGACTCACATTCTTAGGGGGCTGGAATGGTCCCATGACAGCAACTTTCCGGGAGAATTATATGTATTTTTAGAGTTTAAAAAAAATGACTAAATATTGTCCAGGGGCACGTCGGGGACATTAATTATTTGGATAATAGAAGGTCATCTTTAATTATAAAAAGGAAGTAAACACAGGGTATCTATTGACTGTTTAGCTTTTGAAGTATTGTCAATTGAATCTATGTATCCTTTCAACTTTTGAAACTTACTGTTACTCTTAAAAATGTTCAGAATTTAGAGAAATGGGTGCATATCAATTTCATGGGGCTGTTGTGAAGCGCTTACTATTTTTATACTAGCACCTTATGATGGTGCCTACATCTATATAACTTTTGTCTCATCAAGTTTACTTTAACCCTTTCGTAGCCAGAGTTCTTGGAGCTTAAATGCCAAGACCAAGTTTAGCAGCGTTGGTGTGCATCAGTTAACCTTCCAACAACTCTGACTACTTTTTTTGTTTGACAGGAAGTCTGAGAACTAGGAAAACATGCAGTTGCACATTCCAAGTTCTCTGCTAATGGGTTGAATAACTTTCTCACAGCAGGGGGCATTTTACATTTGGACTTAAAAAGTTGTATTGTGGTCACGAAGGGGTTATTAACATTGCATGTTTTTACTTTTTGTTTTGCTGTGCATATTTTGGTGTTTTCCTTTAGCTGTAATACAATTCCTTTTTTTCCTTTGTCTCTGATACTTAACTTTAATAAAAACTTTTGCCTATTCACCAGGGAAAAGATGCCAGCCAAGTGAAAAGATCTATCGAGAGACCACGCTGTGAGGATGTCCACCTGCAGTATATCAAATGCCTCCATTTTAGAGCCGCACCGATAAATTCTGGTCCTCACAGCCCATTTTGTACATTATGGATCATCAAATAGGCTTCATCTTCCCAAAATCTCACATACCTCACTTTCCTGTACGGTTGTAGAGCATCCAGTAGAAACATGGATACTTGTATATATTTTTTACATCACTGTTGTGTTGCCAAAACGCTAGCAGACCATATATATCATAAAATGTTCCAGTTTTGTCTTACAAAGACATAGGACACAACTGTAGACACGCTCATGGGGAGGTTTCCCTGCACAGCATCTCTGTGGGGGGGGGTTTATCAGCCTCTGAGATCATCCACAGTTCTGCTGTCCACCTCCAGCATTTCAAGGTTGTCCCCTACACTGTTGGAGGAAGTGTTTTTTTGTTGTTGTTTTTTCCAGCGCTGCCCACTACAAGCTGATGGAACTCAACCAGGAGCCTCTCAATAATCTACTCACTTTTTTTCCTGCATTTTTTCTTAAAGACTGAAACTCTAATGCAGTTGTAAAGGCACGAAGCCTGATGCAACATGGGGGAAGTTTACTATTAGCATTCAAGATATTGATGGTTTTTAATGTGTTTTTCATTGTTGACCGAGGCCTGTATCCCTAACGTTAGGCTAGGTAGGGGGTGTAGCCACTAAAGTGCAATAATCATGATCATCTTTCAGTGACCATTCAGATCAATAGTCATTACTGAACGTCAATGGCTAGCACACGCTAGATAGAAAACCCCGGTCCTTACCCCCTCTCCCCCCCATTTTTAGTGTTTTAAAAGGATTTACTACACTGCCATTTAACATGGTTTGTTTGTGTATTTCAAGTCGT